ATTATTATTATTATTATTATTATTATTATTATCATTATCATTAATATCATTATTACTATCATTTTTATTATTAGTAGTATAATTATTATCATTAATATTATTACCTTTCTGATCTTTGATCTGTTATTATTATTGTTATTATTATCATTGTTATTGTTGTCATCACTATCATTATCATTATTATCGTTATTATTACTGCTACTACTATTACTACTATCATTGTTGTTGTTAACATTACTTTCATTATTGTTTTTACCATTATTATTATATTTACTATTATTATTTTTATCATTTTTGTTATTTTTGTTGATACTTTTATCATTATTGTTATTGTTGTTATTATCATTGTTATTATTATTATTATTGTTATTATTTTAATATTACTATCATTATTATTATCATTATTATCATTATTAGTAGTATTAGAAGTAGTAGTAGTAGTATTAGTAGTAGTATTACTATTATCAGTATTATTATATCATCATCATAATCATCATCACTTTCATTATCATCATCATCATGATTTTTATTATTATCATTATCATCATCATCATTGTTATTATTATCATTATTATCATTTTTACTATCATTATAATTTGAAATATTAACATTATTCTCATCAATAACAATGTTTATTATTATTATTGCTATTTTTGTTATTATCATTACTGTTATTATTGATATTATCTTTATTAATTTGATATTGCTATAATTATCATTGTGACCGATTATTTATATTGTTATCATTATTATCATCATTAATAAGAATGAAAATGTTATTATCATTATCATTATTCATATAGTTGTTGTTGTTGTTATCATTATTATCCCTGCTGTTATTGTATTGTTTGTTTCATTATTATTATATCATCATGATTTTTATTATTATCATTATTGATAATGATGATAATGATAATAATGATGATAATGATGATGATGATGATGATGATGATAATAATAGTAATAATAATAATAATAATGATAATAATAATAATAATAATAATAATAATAATATTAACAATAATGATAATAATAATGATAAGAATGATAATTATGATTACTATCATTGTTATAATTATCATAATTGTTATTGTTATTATTATCATCATCATTGTCACTGCGATTATCATTGTGACATATCACTATTATGAATATTATTATGTTAATTGTTTTGATAATAATAATAACATATAACGTCATCGTCATCACCATCTTCATTACCTTCATAGTCATCTTCATCATCGTCATTATCATCAGAATTATCACCATCATTACAATCATCATTCTCCATTATATGTTTTCTTCATTATCACTGTGTCCATTTAAACAGGTATCTTGATAAGCATCCGGGATGGATTCTGACCTAGAGAAATGTTTGGCGTTAACGTGTCATAATCTTGGCGTATCAGAAAGGTCATTTTTATCTGATATCTTTCACGTGGTGACGCATTTTTGTCTGTGACCAATTATAATCAATTTTACTTCAGTTTCCCCATAACGCTTTAATCTATGCTGATAACAGAAGCTATCAGTGCACCTGGCTTGAAACGACACGATTAATTACCAGAAGTATTCGTGAAGGAATTGCTGATGGCACTGCTGGTGGGATATCAGGGATAGAGGCTCTGTTAGAGCGAGGGAGAGCACCGGAGACTTGGCAAGGGAAAACGGGTCTGTTGCCTTGACTCTTGTCCGATCCCACAGAAAACGAGAAAACGTAAAAGTCGAACCGGAACAGGAAAAGGAGAGAGAGAATGAGAATAGGTGGAACACCGATACAAAAGAAAAGATAAAGAACAGAGGGAAAGAGCACGTAAGAATTATCTTCGTCGTGATAAGCATGACTGACTGGTACTTGTTTTTATAACGACCGTCTCAGATCCTGGTCGCTGACACCTCTCCTCGCGCCGCCTTTTGACGTGCCGTTTATCGTGTCAAAAGGACTGACCCCGTTTACCGTGGCCGTTTGTTTTTCACACGAACAACATACCTTTTCTCTCTAATAATGATGATAATTAATCACGAGAGTATCCCATATTTCTCTAAAGTTATAAACAGTCGTTATCTATTAAATGCCGATATCCCTTTGGCTTGAACCTCATCACGCTGTTTTCACGCCCTCTCGCCCGCCAGGTGCTGCCCCGACTGAGCCTCATGCCGCCCTGATCCTGGCACCAAAGGACGTGGAAATGGTAAAGGGAGGCTCTGCGCCGCTCGTCCTTACGCTCCGGTGAGTCCCTCCGCAAGATACTGATTCGGTCGGCAGTTACTGGAGTTCGGGTCTGGTCTTCCTGAGCTGATTCAACCCGATTTTAAGGATCTGAAGTGACCATGGCTTTCTGATTTTCCCGCAGCGGCGAGATCACCAGCTGTGTAAACGTGACCTTTACCTCCGAACCCAAGCAACTGACGGAGGAACTGGAACCCTTCTGGCTGTGCGACGCCGAGAATGGCACGTCCTGGCAGGTCATCCTCAACTCCACCACCGTCGGGAAGACTGTGGTTCGGTTGCACACTCTCCCGCCGGGGCTCGTCAGGTGAGAGAGGGAGAGAGGGAGAGAGGGAGAGAGGGAGAGAGGGAGAGA